ATGTAGTTAATAATTGATTATGTAATCCCTAATATTTGAAGAAATGAGAAGTTTTGAGAAAGCAATAAGAAAGTTTTATCACTCAAATCGCGCGTTCTCACAGAAATTGCGATCTTTCCCGCGCATCTGCTTGGATTTATTCACGTAGTACAACATATAATCACGTCTGCGTACACATGTCATTTTATTGAATATAAAGGTCTACATTTTCCCTTTACGGCGAGACCTGTAATCGCGGCTTTATTTTCTCGCTCTCGGCGGGAAAAGTCATGTGATTTTTGCGCGACGTGCGCTCTCGCGGCGCGATTAACGTCGTCAAAGCATCATGTAACGTTTAAATACCGGCCGGTCTTCATGCGCTCGTTAAAGCACTATTAGCGGCATTAGAACATTATTAAGAATATAGGTCTCATCGTTTTTAGTGTCAGTTCGCACGATCCGCCGTCCGCGGATGCTCCACTTACGTCGAGCTCGACTTCTCGACTTTCTACGAGCTCGTCGTCCCTTCAAGGTTCCGAAATTCGAGCGCTCGGCAGTCAGTCACTGCGATCTGTCACGTATTACAGTGGTCAATTTTAACTCGATATCCGATCGAATTTCGCTAGGTAGGATTCAATTTATAAATAATTTTTATTTTATAAATAATTCGTGATATATTCTTGCGCGTGCATTATTGTTTTCTACTTCGATTTTCCGCATGATTTATGTTGAGTAGCGTATCGTTTAAAATATGCAAATTTTAAACAAAAGAAAAAAACTTTTATCAATAGAAATATATTTCAATAATTAATAACGCGTCCATCGTATCGTCTTTAATTCTCTTTACGAATTGGACGATTTTAAGGACGTAATGATGAGTCAATTTCTTTCCGAGGATTGAGTATTCACCGAGGGACACGACGTTCACAAATTAACTGTATAAATGTCAATAGCCACGCATGTCCATCGCGGCGATTATCGTTACCGGAGGTATCGCGACGGTCGACGATGTACCAACGCTAACTCCTATATTTATCCAAACTTTATGGCTCGTGACTAAACGGATGGAACTTCGGCATCTCGTAGGCTCTCGATCGAATCCGCCGCGCGGCGGAAAATGCGGATTCTCAAAGCCACAACAGTTAGACGTTTCCATAATATAATTCACGCT